AGGAGCCTGGAAAGAAAGGGCTGGCAATCTACTTCTGAAGAATTAGCTACTGAGGTGTAGCTTTGGCTATGTATATTTTCACCAAAAAAAAAAAAGCTTGAGAAGGGAGAGGGTTGACATGTCTTGGGGTTGTTAACCAATGTCATAAAACAATACAATGTCATAAAACACTATGTGTACTGACTGTTTAATGCGAAACTATTTGTTCTGTAAACCTTCACCTAAAGTACAATAAATAAAATAAAATAAAAATTAGCCATTGAAAATCCCATGAAGCACAGTTCTCCTTTGACACACATGGGGTCACCACGAGTCAGAGTTGACTCGATGGCAACTGATTGACTGGATTCCTGAACAAGCGGAGGCCAGTTGACCCCGAGGGTGGAAGACAGCAAACCTAACAGCGGCTGGAAGACTTGTCTTTGCCCTCCCCCGCCTCACCCCATCAGTGGTCTGCAAGGGAGAAACATTGGTGGGTGTGTCCCGGCAGGGAAGTGTCTCTGAGTAACAGGAGGTGGCAGGGGCAGGAGAAACACTTCAGCGCCCAAACCAGTTTTTCCCATATGTTAAAATAGCCCACCCAGGAACCGTCTGCAGCTAGCAGATATCTCACAGTTGCTGGTCGTAAATGTCACTCAGCCTTCTGGTTGTTGCCACCTACAGATGCTGGGCTTGTGGGTTTCCCTTCTCTGCCCTCATTTCCTGCCAGCTGCCACCGTGGCTGCTCAGGCTGAAGTCCATGGGTGGTCCCTGTTCCTGCCCGCTCTGTATGGCCATGGGCCTGGCACTGCTGGGCCTTCAAGGTGCTCATGGGTCGCTGCCTGTGTCTGGGGGTTTATACCAGCTGCCGGGCTGGAGCACAGGGAAAGACGGGGAATCTCTCACAATTTATTTACTCACTCTGTATCAATGAAAATTTAAGTGGTTTAGAGTTGTTGATCGCCATGGGAAAAATCTGCTATAAACATGCCAGCATACCTGCTAGGGTGCATAGCATGACCTTCTAGGGTGCATAGCGCATAGATCTTGTATACCTGAGTGTAGAACTGCTGACTCACAGGGTATGAACAGTATACGTTCAGTTTTAGTAGAGAATTCCAAATTGTTTACCAAAGTGGGTGAACTAATTTCTACCCCCACTGACAGTGTCTGAGGGCTCAATCCAGCAGCTGCTCCTTGGAAACCCTATGGGGCAGTTCTACTCTGTCCTGTAGGGTCGTTATGAGTCGGAATTGACTTGACACCAACGGGTTGGGTTTTGGTTTTGCTTTTCTCCATTCTCATCAACACTTAGTATTATTAGCCTTTTAAATTCTTCCCAGTTTGGAGGGCATGTAATGGCACTTCACTGTGATTTGAATTTGCATTTCTCTGATTTTTAACGAGGTCAACTGCCCCATCTCTTCCTTTCTCCCTGGGCCATCTTTGACCCTCTGCTTCAGTTTTTAACAAGAAAATGTCAATCAGGATCCAAGACAAGATGGAATAGTAGACACTGGACATGCATTCAGAAAACAGAATTGGAGTCCCATTTATTATATCTGTGACCTTGATATAGTGGAGGTGAGGGACTCTGAATCAAGGAGAATGACATATATATATATTTTTTTAATTATATAAATACATTTTATTTTCCATTTCCTTTCAGACTGACTTTCTTTTTTTTTTTATTGTACTTTAGATGAAGGTTTACAGAATAAATAGTTTCTCATTAAACCCTTAGTACACATATTGTTATATGACATTGGTTAACAACCCCACGACATGTCAACACTCTCCCTTCTCGACCTTGGGTTCCCTATTAGCAGCTCTCCTGCCCCCTCCTGCCTTCTAGTCCTTGTCCCTGGAGTGTTGTGCCCCGTTAGTCTCATTTTGTTTTATGAGGCTGTCTAATCTTTGGCTGAAGGGTGAACCTCGGGAGTGACTTCATTACTGAGCTGAAAGGGTGTCCAGGGTCTATACTCTTGGGGTTTCTCCAGTCTCTGTCAGGCCAGTAAGTCTGGTCTTTTTTGTGAGTTAGAATTTTGTTCTACATTTTTCTCCAGTTCTGTCCGGGACCCTCTATTGTGATACCTGTCAGAGCAGTCAGTGGTGGTATGTGGGCACCATCTAGCTGTACTGGACTCAGTCTGGTGGAGGCCGTGGTAGTTGTGGTCCATTAGTCCTATGGACTAATCTTTCCCTTGTATCTTGTTTCCTTTATTAAGGAGAATAATATTTTGGTATGGCCTATGGACATTAATTTCATTCTCAAAAAGTCAATTTGATATGCATATGAGTAAATTCTTAATACTTTGGTATATGTATAGTTCTTTATACTTCTAAATTATCCTATTTGTTTACCACTAATTTCATAAAATAAACAATCAACAACAACAACAAAAAACCCATTACCATCAAGTCGATTCTGACTCATAGTGACCCTATAGGACAGAGTAGAACTGCCCCACAGGGTTTCCAAGGAGCAGCTGGTGGATTCGAACTGCCAACCTTTTGGTTAGCACCCAAACTCTTAATCACTGCACCACCAGGGCTCCTAAAATAAACGAAGCAATTATAAATAATTCCATGTTATAAAATAATTTCCCTCTGACTCAGTACCCCTCATATAAAAATATGTTTTAGCTTCTCTGTGTTAATTAATTAATTTGTGTATTTATCTATTTATATGGGGTTTACAAGCAACCAACTGGCTTTAATCAACTGTGTGACTGAAAAAGGGAACTCAGACTTCAGGGTGCTGGGAACTTGGTTGGGTTGGGAGGAAGGGGCTGTCTTCACAGTGCAGAAGTTTCCAGAAGCAGCCACCTGTGGAGGCTAGGGAGGGTCTGGGTGTGTGTCTCTCCACCTGGCCAGCTGCCCTGAGCATCAGGGCATGGAGGGAACCTGTCCATCACACAGCCAAGCATAACTTGAGAAGAAATGTATTTGTTAAGCAAAGTTCCAACCTCACACACCACAGTTGAGCTCCCAAGTCTTGGGTTTCCATTTTGCAAGGCATCAGTATGGCAGAGGCCGGAAAGCACCAAGTCTAGTTCCAAAGGCTGTCTTTATTCAGTGACCTCGTGTACCCAGAAGGAAGCATCAGAAATTTTCCGAAGACCCCAAAGTCCTCTGGCATCTTGGCACATTTGAACTCGTTCCTGTACGCGGTGTCTTTGGGTCATTGCTTGGCCATCCTGGGCCTCAGTTTCCCTACTTAGAAAACACAGAGGCTGGGGAGGCTTTCTGGTACCTTTGTGGTTCACAGTTTCTCATATCTAATGATCCTAAGGGCTTCAGTTGCTGAAAGGGGAAAGCAGGGTTGAGGGTGGTGATGATGAAGGCACTAACTCGGGAGGGGTTGTGCATCCAGTTTCATGTCTTTGCAGCCAGCCTCCGCCTGGACAGCTGTTCCCCTAAATCCTACATGCCTTGAGTAGGCTTTCTCTTAGATCCCCAGTAAACCAGAAGTCTCCCGTCTTAGTCATCTAGTGCTGCTATAACGGAAACAGCACAAGTGGATGGTTTTCTCTCACAGCCTAGTAGGCTAGATGTCCAAACCCAGGGAGCCAGCTCCAGGGGTTTCTCTGTCAGGTGGTCCTTGTCATCAACCTTCCCCTGGGCGTTGAGCCTCTCAGCGCAGAAACCCCAGGTCCAAAGGACGCGCTCTGCTCCCGACGCTGCTTTCTTGGTGGTATGAGGTCCCCCGTCTCTCTGCTCGCTTCTCTCTTTTATTTCTCAAAAGAGGTTGGCTTCAGACACTATCTAATCTTGTAGACCTCATCAATATAACTGCTGCTAATCCATCTCATTACATCATAGTGATAGGATTTACAACACACGGGGAAATCACATCGGATGACAAAATGGTGGACACTCACATAACATCAGGAATCGTGGCCCAGCCAAACTGATACACATATTTTTGGGGGACACGATTCAATCTATGACATCTTCCTTGCTGTGCTTTGCGATGTATTTATTCATCTGGTTATTATCCCAGACTCAGCTCATCAGGATATCAGGAGGAAGGCTGCCCCAAAGATGAGCACAACCACAGTGCAAACAGGAGCCTCCCAGGCCAGCCCGCACAGCCCGGCTCTGGTTGTGCTGGCTGTTCCCTCGCCCCACTCGGTGGTACAAACAGTTAACATTCTCAGCTGCCGACCAAAAAGTGGGAGGTTCAAGTCTTCCCGGAGATGCCTTGGAAGAAAGACCTGATGATCTACTTCTGAAAAAGAAACCATTGAAAACCCTGTGGAGCACAGTTCTACTCTGACATACATGGGGTCCCTAGGAGTTAGAATCAACTCAAAGGTAACTGGTTTTGTTTCCCCTGCCCCACAAGGCATATCATTTTCTCCTTCCCTTGACTTCACCCAACACTATGTCCTGTCCCTGAACACCACTGGCAATCCCAGCGCTTTCTCTCCCTCCCTGCAGTGGGGCAGCATTCACCTCCCTCCATCTGGGGTCAAGAAGGTTCCTAATGAAAATGCCAACCAAACGCCCCCCACCCTGCACCCCCAAGCCAGGCATAGAGCTGTACTGAGTCTGACCCAATCTCAAGCCCCATGAAGAAAGGAAATGGGGCCAGAAAGGCTCCACAGACCCTCCTCCCCCACTTGTTCGGGGATCCTGAGGTGTCATGTGTGCCATTTGCCCTAGAACAACGGTGTTGCTGCTCTGGGGAACGGACGAGAGGAGGGGCTCATCCTGCTGACCCCACCTTTCCTGATGACCACTAGGGCTCCCAGGACCTTATCTGTGACCCTTCCCTACCTGGCCAGGGTGTCCAGTCACGAGCTGGCCAGCGGTGTTGGCGAAGCTGGAAGCTGACCTTTCCGGGCACGCTGGGCAGAGTCCTCAGCAGCCATGGCCCCATCCAGGTGCTGGGCTATCCACGGAGTAGAGGCCAGGCAGTATCTGCTGACCACCTACCACCCAACCTGGGTTTCTTCCTGGGCTCTGCCTACCAGGGCATTGAGGCGGTGGTGATTGGGCTGTTTCTCTTCCAGGATTCGAGCCCGAGACGACAACGGGTCCTACGCGCTCTGTCTCCTGCACGAGGGGAAGGTGCTGCACTATCGCATTGATAAAGACAAAACCGGGAAGCTGTCCATCCCCGACGGGAAGAAGTTCGACACGCTTTGGCAGGTACAGGTCAACGCCAGGGGGAGGTTGCCCTCCTGGTGGGGCAATGCGTGGGGCACGCGGGCACCTTGTCTCCAAGACGTAGAGATAAAAGGAGCCTGGAGCCTGTTAGAAACGCGTTTCTCAGCCCCTGCCTGAGACCCGCTACGTCAGAGTCTGCTTTTCAGCCTCCGGGTGGCTGTTATGAACACTGATGTTTGAGAAGCACTGGCCTAGGAATCATCATATTAGGTAAAGGAGGTTCCAGAATCTTCCGTGACTTGTCCAAAGCCACTTAGATCTCGGTACCACAGGGTGATGTCCATGATTCAGGGCTGTGTTAAGGAGGTTTTGGTTTCGGCTTTAGGAGACTAGAGATATTTCTTTCTAAGATATTCTGCTAAAACCCAGAACAGTTGTAGACAAAAATGCTCACAAAATCAAAGCAAAGGTGGTCAGGGAAAGAAGCATGGAGAAAGCCAATAAGACAATCCTTTGATTTGTGAAAGGCTGAAGTGCATATAAAAGGTCAGGTGCTGTTCTTGCTGCAAACCGAGTCCCCCTCTGTGGAAATTAAGGCCATTTAGAAAGTACGTCAGCACTTCCTGGGCATCGGGCTGCCAGTGGACAAGACTCTTGGTAAAAAAAAGTTTATCCTTGATGCAAACCCCAAACCGCGAATGATTTGAACGCTAATAGGATGCTCATGGCTGCTTTTCGTTGTAGTTAGTATAAATAGCTGGTCTAATTTTAAATCACAGTTTCATTAGCTGACAATGACGGAAATGGCAATAACAGCGCTGAATGTGTCATTTGAAAGAAAGCTAAAAAGCTGTAGTGAGTCCATAGTCAGGTGAAAACCAGAGGACTCTGCTGCCACCTAGAGGGGAAACTGTATTGAGCTTTTTGTGGCTACCAGAAAACCCCAAACCCGTCGCCCTTGGGTGGATTCTGACAGCGACCCTATAGGACAGAGTAGAACTGCCCCATAGAGTTTTCAAGGAGCGCTTGGTGGATTCGAACTGCCGGCCTATTGATTAGCAGCCGTAGCTCTTAACCACTGCACCACCAGGGTTTCCTTTTGTAGATAGGACATAATTAACATGTTACATGTTCATACCCAGGCCCAGCCAGGATGACACCTGGAGTAAATAGCGAGGAAAGGACTCAAAATCCCATCTTTTAAAAATTGAGACCACTGGTCCTCGTTTCCTTTCAAGCACTTAAAGTAACTCCTGCCTACTGTTCTTTGGTTCCCAATGCTGCAGTTGGAAAAAATGAAAATATTTCATCTTTGAACACTGGATATTATAATACTTAAACACGTTAGTCATGACTTTGTCATTCTGTTACGTGGCTCGTAAGCATTTGTCTCGTATAAACCACAGGCTTTGCTTTATTTCATAGTATTGATTTGAAAGAGTATTTAATCTTATGACCTGAGGTACTTCAGGGAGATTTGTAAGGAATATTACCTTCTGATATTAATTTCACATCAAAGTCTCTGACCGACTCAGGGAATCATTGATGTGTGCATTTAAGGCACCTGGAGTCTTGTACCCAGCTGTGTCCCCAATACTGGAAGACCTAGCCCACATCACTAATAAATGGTCATGCAGTATCTGCTGAATGACCATTGTGCTTGTGTGACATTCTTTCACAATCTCACGAAGTCTGCACACTATAGTCTGAAACATCTCAAATCGTTGGAATGTTCCTTCCCAAGACTCTCCCTCTTTTCTTGAGTCCTCCATATTATAGTATTCAACACTAAATAAATCTTTCCCATTATATATGTTCTAGCTGTCATATTTAGAAAAACCAAAAATAACCCAAACCCATTGCTGTCACGTCGATTCCGACTCATAGCAACCCTACAGGACAGAGTAGAACTGCCCCATAGGGTTTCCAAGGAGTGGCTGGTGGATTCGAACTGCTGACCTTTTGGTTAG